AGGACAGTTCGTAACATCCTTTGGACTGACAGCCAATGGCTGGTACTCACAACCATTATTTGTTCAGTAAAGTGGAATCAAAGCTCTCTCTGCAATATAACATTTAGCTGATTATAGGTGTTATTGTTAGGTGACAGATATTGAATAGTTAGGGTATCTCATTAATTGTTACTATTTTGGAGCTCCATGTTCATTTTTGGTTGGGTAGATATTTCATAGAATCATAGAATCATAGAATCATAGAATGCCGAAGGTTGGAAGGGACCTCAGAGGTCATCTAGTCCAACCCCCCTGCTCACGCAGGGTCACCTAGAGCACGTGGCACAGGGCTGCATCCAAGCGGGTTTTAAAGATCTCCAAAGAAGGAGACTCCACAACCTCTCTGGGCAACCTGTTCCAGTGCTTTGTCACCCTCACAGTGAAGAAATGCTTCCTTAAGTTCCTGTGGAACTTCCGATGCTTCAGTTTGAAGCCATTTCCTCTAGTCCTATCCCTGCCCACCACTGAAAAGAGGCCGCCCCCCTCCTCCTCCCTCCCTCCCTTGAGGTATTTATACACGCTGATCAGGTCCCCCCTCAGCCTCCTCTTCTCCAGGCTGAACAGGCCCAGCTCTCTCAGCCTTTGCTCATAGGGCAGATGTTCCAGGCCTCTGATCATCCTGGTAGCCCTGCGCTGGACTCTCTCCAGCAGCTCCACATCACTCTTGTACTGGGGAGCCCAGAACTGGACACAGTACTCCAGATGTGGCCTCACCAGGGCTGAGTAGAGGGGGATGATCACTTCCCTCGACCTGCTGGAGACGCTTTTCTTAATGCAGCCCAGGATCCCGTTGGCCTTCTTGGCCACCAGGGCACACTGCTGCCTCATGGTCAACTTGTCGTCCACCATGACACCCTCTCTGCGGGACTGCTCTCCAGCAGGTCCACCCCTAATCTGTACTGGTGTCCAGGGTTATTCCTCCCCAAGTGCAGGACCCTGCACTTGCCCCTGTTGAACCTCATGAGGTTTCTCGCCGCCCAGTCCTCCAGTCTGTCCAGGTCTCTCTGGATGGCAGCACAGCCCTCAGGGCTATTTCAGGAATTTCATTTCTGACCACTGCCTGTGCTAGTTTAATTGTTTGTTCTGAGCACAGTAAAGGTTAAACTGTGCCTACTTCGAAATTTGTTTTTAAAAATTGCCAGAGATATGTTCTGTTGGTAGACTTTGTGTCCATATTGCTGAAAAAAGAATTTTAAATATATTTAAACCAGATATATTCATATTTAGCTTTGTAAAGATCATGCTTTGTAAGGTTGGTCCCAGAGCTGACCTTTGTAAGGTTGGTCCCAGAGTGAAATGCTTATTTGTTTGTTTTTTATAGGGTTTGCACAGGGTGGTCTAGCACAATGCAGGTCAGTGATACCTTGGCTTTCCGCCTGTGTGTTTTATAAGGCTCTAAATCTGCCTGTCAGGAAAAAGAACAGAAAGGTAACAACTGCTAGTTAAATCAAATCACTTCTACTAAATTGGACAAATTTGGTTAGCCTCTGATGCACCCTGGCCCAGGTCCATGTCAGCAAGAATGATTGTGTTCAATCAAAGCTAAGCTCATGGGTGAACAAAACACAGTCCAAGAATACCACAGAACATGCTGCCCACAAACACATCTTTTTATGGGCAAAAAGATGTTACTTAGATTTGATGTACTGCTATGGTTGGAAATAAGTGCTAGAATTCTTCAGTGGTAATAAATCTTAGAAAAGAGGGCAAGCCTAACCTTTTTCTAGGTATTTTAGGTAAAAACTTCAGATTTATAAAACATTCAGCTAAATTTATATTTCCAAGATTTTTTTTTTGTTTTGAAAAAAAACAGATGCATTATCAGCAGGGGTGCAGCGGAATCGAAAAATCACAGATCTGTTGGTTTTATTATAGCTTTTCAGTAAATAACACTTCAGATATCAGTACAACAAATCTTAAAGTTATTTATCAGTACTATATCAGCTATTTATAGGAATAATATCACCCACACTGAAAATGCTAGGAGATATGATCTAACAGTACAGTTATATTTCACTATTTTATGAGAGACACAGGAATAAAAACATTATATTTAACTGATTCTGTGAGGGAAAATTACAAATTGAAGTTGACTGGGTGTAAAAATAGAAATTTAATACAGACATAGAGGGAGAGAACCAATATATTTTTTTCTCCAATTATTTTTTACATTTGCATTATCATATTTATTATATTTAATTATATGTTGTGATGAAAACAGAAATCTAACACTTTAGTGCCGTAACTAGTGATTAATAATCTCATCTTTGTTCTCTTTTTTTTAGTCTGGGCCTCTTAATCCAGGTTGGGTCAGTGTTGTCTTATTGTTTTAAGTATACACAGTCTTACGACAAGACTCCTTTATTATTTTTTGTGAGACACAAGGATTCCTTCTGGAGGTGATAAATAAGCATTCTCAATGATAAAAAGCTAATATCTTCAGCAGTACAATGGAATGACTGTTATTAGCATTACAACTTTGCCTGCTTAAAATCCAAGCCTGTCAAAGATGTAGCTTTTTTGTGTTCTTCATCTATGTTGATATGTACTACAACATTGGGTTTATAAACCAGAAAAGTAACAAAGCCCATTCTTTCTCCCTAGGAAAAAAAAAAGTGCTAATAAGTAAACTGCAGTGAATTTACTTTCCACACTTGAGAAGGCTTAAGAAGTTGCTGCTATCATTAGGAACTAAAATTAAATAAGATGATCATCAACTGGTCCTTTATATCTTGCCTAATATCCTAAATGATCATAACACTATTTATATTTCACTTGCATTCTAATGCTGAAGCCTCCAAAATGTATTATGAGGCAATCAAAAACAAACAAACAAACAAACAAAACCACTTGTCTTTTGTTCCAAACCTACAGTTTAACTACATTCTGGGTCTGATAAAAAGGCAAGGGTGACTCACAAAACGACAACACTGCAAACCCATCTGTGAATGATTTAAGACCACAATTATGATACTTCATGTTGCTTGAGGAGAATCCAGTCATTCACTGTGACTCTAGTAATCTATTGGCCGTTTTGGAGTAATCCAAGGTATGTTTAGAATAAAAAAAGTGTATAAGCCACTTCTTCGAACTAGCTGAATGAAAAAACAACATCAACAACAACTACAACAACAACAAAAAAAAAACACCTGCAGCAGCAGTGTTAATCTAGCCAGATATTAAAGAGGCACATATTGGAACAAAGATGTGGTAAAGACAAGGCTGAAAGTGAAATGCTTACAGCGTTTTGCAGGACTCTAAAACGTATGACAAAATGCCACATAACATTTCCTCATGTTGAGAATGAAGTGGTATGGTCAATCATTTGTCCTTTGTTGTCCTGTATTCAGCAACATCTAGCAAGTATTTTATTGCACTACAACTTTAAAAATCAAGAACACACAAAATCTAATAAGAAGACAATTTATTCCTGATCTATTCCTCACTAGCAGGAAAGACTTGTTTAGGAATGCTTGGGTAATAAAGAGAAATTCAAGGGAAAAACAATACATATCTCAGAAGGTAAAAATGAACCCTTTGCAGGAAAGCAGAAAATTATCTCTGAAGACGTTCCTTGTAGAGAATAGTTAAATGCCTGTTACAAACAACTGAATTGAGAATAGTTGCAAGTGCCAGTTGAAACAATCAGATGAAGGGCTGAAATTACATTTTAAAGCTGAAGAAATATAAAAGAAATAAGATGTACTAAGGATGGGAAAAGGGGGTATTTGTGCAACTCCACATAAAACAAAAGGCCCACTCTCAAGCCAGACCAGGTATGTTCATTTTTTCTCTTCTTTCTACATAAAAAGGCTTGTGTTGCAGTTTGAGGTCAATTGAATCCAATATGAGACTATGCTTCTCCAAAAACTATTCCACACTTAACTACCTTATTTTCAAAAGGAGTCATTTCCTTGTGTACTATCTTCCATACTGAAGAACAGTGAAGAGTGCTTATTAGATGATTTCTTCAAGGCCCAATTTCTTGTGTGTCCAAAATGCTGTGGTGCTATGGAAACGTGGATAACTTGGCACTTCTTATACACTGTCTGGAACATCTATCTTGCTTCTTCATCTTGGAGCATGTCAGGTGTGTTAAAAGAGCTTGCCTTGACTTCATGCTACATGCATGTTATCAACCCTCACATTCTTCATCATTTTCTTTAGGTGGAAATGGAGTGAGAAGTCAGGATGAAACAAGCACCTACACAGGGTAATATTATATATTGTTATTATTATAAATGCTATTATATTGTTGTTATATATAAATAGTGGTTAAGAATAAGAAATATGAATAGAAAATAAAATATAGAAATAGTAGAAAACGCAAAAATAGCAAGAAATCAGAGGCAGGGACAGGGTACACTACCTGTCCTGGACATTAGCATCCTGACCTTTTGCATGAGTCTTTTTTGAAGACCACTACACCACAGACTTTGAATGCTGGTCTGAAAAACAGAAAAAAATGTGTCATTAAATTTCTCATTATATTTGAAGGAGAAGGAAGAGACATGCATAAAAACTTTCCAAAACGTGCCCTCAGGGTGGTCCTTGTCAGGAGAAGTTGATAGAAAATACTGCTTTATAAATACATGATGTACAAATATTACATATTTCAACTCATTTTGAGTTGAATATACTTAATTTACTAGAACACTGTTTTTCTTTATGCCAGTGAAGGCTTTTTACAATTGCCATGATTTATTTTCCTTCATTATTTTGCATTTTTTTTAAAACATCAACTTTTTTGATTTAGCCACTCTTGAGCACTTGATCCATATTAAGTTTTGCTTCTAGTATTTCTGTCCTATTTTAAAGTCAGCTGAGAAGTGCAAATGACTTAAGAGACTCTCAAATGTCTTAAGAGATGAGTTCTTAAATGACTTAAGAAATAACCCAAATAAAACTAGAACCAGGATGTGGACCTCACTTTTTTATTTGTTTTTCTTCTTTTCAGAAGTATTTCTTTCCTCTGTTTCTTCCTCTTGAGAAAACGAGATTCAGAAGTCCTCTTAATGTTCAATCCACTTGATATTTTCATTTGATCATGAATAGCATATTCACATTGCACAGAAAGCTTTATGCCACAGAGAAAAAGAAATGAGAATTGGGCCTTAAGAGAACACGCACACAGACACTTAATATACAAAAAGAATAAGTATGACATGACCTTTGGAGAGAAGATGTTTATGACATTTGTAGAAGACCAGCTACAATGCACCAACCTTTCCAAGAAGCCAAACATGAATATAAATATTTAAAGAATATAAATAGGTTAGCATGCTTCATCAAATAGCATATGCTTCCTGCAGTGTCAGTGACTCAGCCAGTATCTATATCATTGGGAAAAGAATATTTTTACTAATTCCTAATAAGAAAGTGTCCACCTAGTAGATCTTATTTTAAATAAAGTTTCCATATGTACATTCGGCTACTCAAAATAAGAGCATGTAATGGTGGGTATTTTAATCTTTGGGAATCCATCTTCCATCTTTACGACTTTTTTTACATTGCTATAAACTACAGACAGAATTAATAACAGAAAAGTTTAAATATTTCTTTGTAAAGTCAGCATATCTTGATGCATCTTGATGTGTCCTGAGGGTGTTTAGATATGAAATTATCTGAAAGTTAAAACTTTTTTCCTGCATTTCTTTGAAGATACAGGGTTATCCCAAAAAACTAACCATCTCCTTTACGAAAAAGGCTAAAAAAAAAAAAAAAAAAAAGCAAAAAAGCAAAGCATATCTTGGGGGTTAAATTCAATGCTAGGGGTTTCCCAATCTCAGTCATTAACAAGGAAATGCTACACATGAAAAAGTGGTAATTTTTTTTCAGGCATACATATATATATTTTATTAACAAGTAAGATAAAATGTCAGTTAGTGACTACAGATTGTTATACCATAGACAATTCATAGATAAATTGTGCTGAAAAAGGAAGAATGTTCTTCCAAATATCACTTAAAAGTGGTATCCTAGTGACCTAGGATGATATAATAATAATAGTAATAATATAATAATAATAACAACAACATAAAGCAGGTAAACTACTACTTTCATTTCTCATTTATTTGTAAAATAAATTCTTTGTTAAATGACTTTTTTTAAATGCTGCTTTCTGTTTGAAAAGTTACATACCTCATTATTAGCTAATCTGCACATTTTAGAAAATACCACATTAAACAAGAGATATAAGCAATATCTGTATTTCTTTTTACTGTGAACTCCTGCAAAATTCAGAAATTGTTTTACCTCTTGAGATGAAACAAGAGGAGAGTAATTCTTTGTCAATGTCACGCTATAAAGAGAATACAAGCATAAAAGCATTTAGATGTGCAGTTGAAAGAAAGAAAAAACAAATACATTCTGCTGTTTTATGCATCAAATAAACCTTATATTTTTGCCAACATACAAAGAGAGTAAGAATACTTCTTTCCATCTTTACATAAAGAATTACACTATTTACCTTAAATAAATATACAAACCAAATATGCTCATAAACTCCCCCAAAAATTTATGTGAAAAGTATCCCACAGGTAACACATACCAGCCTGTATAAAAAGCTAAATGAGTCAATGTATAAGGATGCTTTTCAAAGGTACCCATGTTATCTTTCCAAAACCATAATTCAGGGATTGTTAAAAATGTGCTGGTGACACATATATATGATTTTGAAATTCACTGAAAAATTTCCTCATTCCTCTGCTTTGCCCCATCCTTAAGAGCTAAGGCTTTCCAGATGCATTAACAATTGCTGCAAGTAAGAGCACTTACCTCAAACACATCAGAGTAATACAAAAGATGAACTGCCAAGCAGTATTTCTGGCTACTAAAGCAAATCAAAATGATGACCGCAACTTTGTTCCCTTTCTATAGTTGTAGGTTTTATTATTTTTAAGTGTATGTTTTGTTTTTACTAACTGAAATAGCACAGATTGCTGTATCTAAAATTTGTTCATCTTTATCTGCTTTGCATTAAAATAGCACTATAAAAAGCAAGAGTGTTTTTTTGATACCATATCCTTCTCTGGGAATGACCTAGCCAACCTTCTCCTGTTTAACAGCATCAAAAAGCAAACTGATCAGGTCAATCTGATATGGATGAGCAATGGCTTTGAGAGCCCCGCAGAAGACCACTGCATGCTAGGAATTTGGAATGGGCAGGAGCTGGCTTCCTGGAGCCTCAGGGTGTGTCAGCACACATATCTGCAGCACCAAGCTCACAGTAACAAGCCGTACTGAGAGGCATAATAATACAATTGCACAGGCTTACTACAAAGCCTACAGGCAAACACTTTGCTGTATAAATCTTGGCCATAGCAGCAAAATAGATCTACCTTAAATAAGAGATGTTTGTTTATGGACAGCTGGCTTAAATTCACCCTCCTTACCATGTGGGCTTGGGCAGCCCATGGACAGGTATGCTGCAGTCCATTGCAAGTTGCTTCCTTCCCCTCATGCTTTGCCCCAAAACAACCTGGACACTTTGCCTACTCTTTTAAATTCTAATACCAGGTATTTAAAAACTTAAATTCTATGATCCTTATCAGAATATGCTAGCACTTTAAAATGGAGGGGAAAAAAAAAAAAAAAAAAAAAAAAAAAAAAAAAAAAAAAAAGGAAAAGAAACCCAAACCCTCAACATCGCTTGAGATGAAAATAAAGGGAATTCAGAAAAATTCAATTAACTAGAGAAAAAAAAAGTGCAACATTTTAAAAGTTCACAAAGTAGGCCTACAATTAAAACATGCTATTAAGAAGTTACTCTTACTATATATTTTTGGAACACTCTTCCACTTTACTGCAGGAATTTTTAACAGTAACATTACCTGCAGTACCTCATGTGGTAAAAATTTGTTACTGCCCTACCTTGGATGATTGAAGATAGTATAGCTGTCTGGTTCCTATTGTTAATCAATGCCAAGGAAGTAAACAGAGTCAAAAGCTTTTCAGGACCTAGAAAGGTCCTGAAAGTTAGATACTGCAATTTTTTTTTTTTTTTAGGTAAATGTCAAACTGATAATAAAAGATTACCATATGTGCTGTAATGTGAAAAAAAAATTAGAACTTTTTTTTCTCCTTCCAAGCATATGTTTAGAGCCTACTGCATTATGGCCCTTGCATTAATATCATACATATATAGAGAAATAATATTAAAAATATTTTCTGCATTAAATACTTCAGCTATGTGCTAGCTACAATAAGCAGTACACACTACTAAAACACTTAATTGAAATATTTAGCTTATTTTCTGATAGTTTCTCAGAACAGTGTTGATAACAGCAAAGCAACAATAAATATGTATACAATCAAATCCCCTTTTCCAATATTTCTGTTTCTAGTCCATGGAGTTCTAGATGCTTGTTAGAACTCACTGTCTTTTTTTTCCAAACATTTTTCTTCCCTGCAGCCACCATCATCACTTCACAAATACTGAAACACAACTCTGAAGAGGAAATATAGTTTAGTAAATGCTACCTAACCACTGGGCCTGTCAAACATTCCTGATCACAGCTCTTTCTGACTGCCAGCCTTCAACTGTTTAAAACAGTGACACACAATTTTCCCCTCTTCTCTGTAAAAGCACATCGGTCTTCAAGGTTAATACTGCAACAGAATTATGAAGAAAGTTATTTGAAGATGATCCTGCCAGTTTTTTTCCTGTGACTGGACCCCCTCTGGCTTGAGAGACTAAAGCCTGAGAATAGCATTCTTGCAAGATGAAATAACTGCTATACACACTGCTATGCACACAGAAAACACTCTTAAATAGAGATGGTTGCAGTTCCTCTTGGAGGATAATTTATCACCTCATTTTCTTCAATTTTAAGTTTTAAACTATTTATTTTTTTCATAGAGAAATATGAGACTTTCAGACTGCATTTAATAATATTACTTAATATCTGTATTTGTTTACCAAAAGCAGATAAAATGTATCAAGCACATTAAGATATACCACTTAGCTTTGTCAGCTATTATTTTAAAGTTTCCTTAACAATCATTCAAAAGCTCAGAAGAGTCTGCTGAATGAATTTTTCCAAAAATGTAATCATACACACTTTCAATTGTGCACACAAACCTTTATCTTTTGGCTGTGTTCCTTTCCCTTTAATGATCTGTGTATGAATCTCGTATTACTACAGTTTATTTAAAAATGCATTATTAAAAATTATTTCAAATAGTAACTTCTGTAATTAGATTTGTTGAAACTACAAATATGTTGGTTGTGAGATGTTAAAATGTACTCTTGAATCAAAATATTAAATGAATCTTTATGATAAAAGAAAAATTGACTGATGATATATTAAATAAGCTTAGTCTTTGAGCAATCTGGGGTACTGTTGTCTTAAATCAGTATCAAATACTCAGTGTTACAGCAAGTTCCTGCAGGCTCAGCTCTGTTGCTCTGGACATCTGGCACACATGATGAACAATGTAAATGCTTTAAGCCATTTTTTTGCATCCATTAAATACAGAGTAAGTGGCTGACAGGTAGGCCACTGAAGTGTTGCAAGGACATGCTCAAGGCAAATGTTCAACCGCATGGTATCAGCTTCACAAAAAGTGGGGAACTACAGGTAAAGGCCATTTGAAGTGAAAGTCCATGAAAAAAAGTGTGACAGAGTGACACAGCACTCACTGTCCTCCAGCACTGTGCAGAAGTACAGGCATGGTGGACTTAAGTGCTGATTGATGTGACAATTTGGTTTTTATCAGACAAGTTACAAAACATTAATACTCAGATATTAAACTAACAAGATAGTCTATTATAACTTTATTAACACAGATTTTCTTATTCTGAGCATTTTAAATCACTACCGTTGTGTTTAATTGGAGTCCAATCCAGGCATTTTTTGCAAGCTTAACTCCAGATTTCAGCTGATTCTACAATTGCTCAAGTACACTGTAAAGAAGCTTGAAGACTCACTGTACTGAAGACACCTGGGAACACAAGTATCCAGCAGAAAATCCAGGATTCTAGCCAGGAAGAATCCAGGTGCTAGCCAGGAAGTTCACTTTATGTGTACTGTTGATTCCATGCCAGAGGAATTTGCATTTTAAGACCTAATACTTCAGATACTAGTATTATTTTTACTTTTAAGCTCACTTTTATCTAAGCTACATTTCCAACAACTGAATATCCATTTAATGCTGTTATAGAAAAAAAAAATTAAAATGTAAGCATTTTAAAATGCATCTAATTTAGGAAAGAGATGTTGATTTATTTGTGTGATCTGTGTATTTACCTTCTTACATGGAGCATTTTTCAGAAAACCCAAAAGAACAGGAAAGCTTGGCATGCACAATATTGGGTTTTTTTTTTCTATATTTAGGTGTAAATTCTATGTTTTTTAGGCCCCAGCAGAAGGAATTTTACACAGCAGATGAAATTTCCCCCTTGTGGAGGAAATTTTTAATACAGAGGTGACAAGGGCAGTAAAGGTGGTCATTAGTAGCAATTATGATGGGGATTCAGTATATGGTGGAAAAGAAAATCCTTGAGCACTGGCAATTAGTGAGATACTATTTGATAAAAAAAAAAAAAAAAAAGATACTTTTAGATGCATTAGTGAATTATGTCAGAAACCATAATTTATAGTGGAGCATTGTGCAAAGAGAAAGATTGCATTGACTCCTAAAATATCTATCATTGGTATGTCTCACAGTAAAAAATAGTTAAGATTTTTTCTTAAAGATTAAAATTTAACATAGATGTATCCTGGGGTGCTGGAGTGGAGCATATTTCTGCTCAGTAACTGAATGCTTTGATTCCTCTGAAATATTCTACTCTAACAAGATAGATATTACTGGTTAGAAAGGTGTGGTGCTTCCAAGTAATAATTTACTGGCACATCTTGGCAACCAAGAGGATATATATTAATTTTGGAAGAAGCACAGATGGGACTAATTGACTTTATTCAAGAAACGGTGTTGTAAGACTTTGATTTAGAAAAGTGTTGCTTCATTTTCTACAGTGAGAACTGTTGTTTCAGTATGCAAATTTGAAGGGTGTAGGTGCTTTCCAACTTAAAAAAAAAAAAAACCTAACTTTTCATTGTGATCCAAAACAGATTTTTTTTAATACATAATAGGAGTTTTAAAATGTAGAAATTCAAGTTTTTTAAAAAAATCATTTTAATGGATAATTAAATTTTGCCATTTATGTACAGATAGTAAATGGAAAGGGAAAGAGATTTAATGTTATACATATACACACATACATAATATATATATATGTGTGTGTGTGTATGTGTATGTCAATATATATTTATTTATTTATCCAGAGCATTTATATATCCTATTATTACTGAGAAGAAAAAAAAACAAAACTTTTTCTCACTAATTAGGAAATAGCTTCTGGTAGTTGGGGCCTTGAATTGACTGACATTAAGTAAATGTTTCACATCAAAATGTTTACTGAGTGAAGCCCTTTCACATCTCTGATGCTGTAGAACAGTGCACCAAGGCACCAAGCTTTAGACCTGCATTTCCCACCTTCATGACTGTTACTACTTAAATGAGGGTGTTTACCATTGTTCACAAAAGCACAACTATTGTGGTATGTCTGTTTATTCCAGATCAGAGCTAGTCCTGGTCATTTCCACAGGGCTTGCTTTATTTCAGTATGTTTGTTACCATTCTCAAATGAGATTGATTCTCATTTTAGAAAGCAAAGCTTTTTAACCTTGCAGTTAAACCCTGAGTGAAAGCTCAACTGCTCTCTATAAAAAAATAAAAGGATTTGCTAGGCTTCTTACCCATAGAGAATCAGTCTGCTCCAAGAGCAGCAGTCCAAACAAGTAATTTACTTTTATAAACAGTATAAATAAAGCAGAAATAGAAGGAAATATCTCAAAAACCTACAACACGTCTCTCTTTATAGCACCCTGGACGGTTTATTTTATTTCCTACAGAAGGTCTACAAGCTGTTGCAGTTGGCTATCTGCAGGAGGTCCTCAGACTGCTCAAAGAGAATTTAGGTAAGTTAAATTACAGGGCTTTTTTCCCCTTCTAGGTAGCAGAGGTACAAAGTTAAGATGCTACCACAGAGCATTACTTAACCACCTGCATATTTTTAAAATAGTTTTTGGTCATTTTACAGGTGCACAAAGATGGCCCTCCCCGTAAAAACACTAAAAAGAGGTATATGAATTCATCTTTCTATCATGCCCCACTTTTATACAAATGTATTTCAGTAGAAATAACATAAAAGTACCTATCAGCAGTAAACCAAGTGCTATTAGTTGTATAAGTAGTTCTGAAGATAAAATTATTTCATAATATTGCTTACTGGTGAGTACCAAATAAACATCTACGTCATCATTTTTTTTTGTTTTAGCTTGTCATGCAAGTTCATGAGGAAAATAAACAGCATAAATTATCCTGATGAATAGAAATGTGGAAGAATGATAGTACAGATCATTATATAATTATACAGGTAATTATAAATATGCAAGGACCTATAAGATGCTTATATAATACTCTATGATAGGCTCATTAAAATGTGTGCAATTAAATATTCTTAAAAATTATTGAATAGATTAATAACAGTTTATTATATCTGTATATAATATCTGCATATTTGCAGCATAGTGACTGCAAATAGAGATATTTGTATCTCTACATACAAATATGTATGTATATCTGTAGCATAGTGACTAATAGAGAAGCACTTCTAAGCAGAACTTCTCCAGTGGAATTTCTGTGGGAGTCAGTAATTATTCAAACATTATTCAAAATTTCATTAAATGTCTTAAGTAAACACCAATTAAAAAAAGACAGAATACTAGTAATTGTTTGGATGATATTTTAATAGGCATCCTAATACAGGCTAAAATATATAAATATGGAAAGAAAAGTATATATAACTTTTCAATAAACATACAGAATGGATAACTTCTAAAAATATTCATATAACTTATGGGTCTC